GGACCAAAGTCCGCTGTCCGCCCCCACTTGTTCAATATTTTGGAAGCAATCATGCAACCATTTAAAAACAATAACTTTCTCTTTCTTCTTTCACCTTTTCTCTCCCTTCTCTCTTGCATTTGCCTACCTTCTCCGACGCGGTGGTTTTTTGGTCGGAAGCCTTTGAGCTTCTGACGTTTTGATGCTTGAGCCGTTGGGGGATCCTCGACCGCTCAAGCATGCTGGAGCCGGCCTGTGCTCCATCCTCCGATGACCCTTCGGGGTCTGTCGGTTTATGGGTCCCTTTCCGGTGACCCCTTTTGCTCTTTTTGTTTTCTGGTTGTTTTGTATAGTTTTAGTTTCTTGTACAGTTTGTTTTTAAGATCCGGCAACCCTCGGCTCTTTCCTGTTGATCTTGGTAGGGGTTCGTTGGGTTTTCTTTTTTGTCCTGTTTGGTGCAGATCCGGCGGCTTTCTGTCTTCTCCGGCGGATCTGAGGCGGCGCACACGAGGGCTTTCAGATCTACGCCCACTGCGGCTCTCTGCTGGTTCCGAGGGTCTTCCGCCGCCAAATCGGGTGACCGCACGGCATCCTGGAGCCTGATGCTATTTCTTCAAGGGTAGATTGAAAGGTGTCCCATATGGATCGGTCGACCGAAGGCCGTGGTATTTCCGGGGCGTTCGTGGTTGTTCGAGTGCTGAGTGCACCCCCTTCAGGCCTCTGGATATGGGTCTACTCTGTTCTTTTGTTCCAGTTGTTTTTACTATTTGTTATCTTTGTAGATGCCGTATGACGGTCTTTGTAATGAATCCATTCCATTATCCTCAAAAAAAAAAAAAATCATGCAACCATTTAACATTTTTATTTTGGGAAAAAAATGCATTAAAGAGTCTGAGAGAAATAATAAAGTTGAGGGAAAGGTCTCAAAAGTCTTATTAATAATTCACACGCTTTGGTTGGCCAACTACCGCTTAGCTCAATGGCCGCATCTCTTCGGGGAAAGAAGAGGTCGCACCAACAACTAAATTCAAACTCTTGTAATCCCATTCCCCTATCCGTCGTTGTTCTGTCTTCCAAAAACAAAAACAAACAAAAAAAAAAATGTTTTCGTTTATTGGTACATTTTTTTTTTTTTTGGCTAATTAACCTCTTCAAAATTCAAATAATCTGGACTTTCGCTGATTGCCTTAGGGAAATTTATTTTCAATTGAGGTTAATCGAAGCATTCCTTCAAATCCAAAACCCAATCAAAGCAATCTGCAATCTATAGAAGCTTATGAATCATTCTCCAACAACTGGGTCTAATAGGATATGGAATGGAAGATGTAGCGCCCAAATCTTATATCAATGAAAAATTATGAGGGAGTTACGTATAAAAGTGTGGAGACCAAGACCTGTGCACCTTGACCTAAATAATTGGTAGGCCAATAACTTTGGCTCAAGTCATTTCAACAACAACAACAAACAGTTGGTTTGTCTCTTGCAATATGCAAAACAGGACAGGCGAGGTGAAATGCAATTTCAGTGAGCCAGCAGCATCAGGTTCATGGAAGTAAAATCTTTCTTTCCAATCTACTTGTAGGCAGCAATTCTAAAGGGGTACCCATGAAAGATAACTTTAGTTTTCTTCTATTGCTTTTTTGGAACCATTCAATGCTGTATAGTTTCTTTGATTGCTGAGAGAAATCCAAATGCTTGGAAACTTAGCCATGGAATTGATCTCATCTTTGTTGTGTATGCAGTAAGTATGATGCATACATTAGACTTCTCAGAAGTGGTTTCTCAGATAAGCTTTTTCCTGTCTAGCACACGGAAGCCTATTGCTAACACAAAGCATGTCTTCTAGGCACTCTTTGGAAATGTGGTCCCATTTGGTGTAATTGCATGGTGCATACACAGGAAAGGGCCTGTCTTTGTTGCGATATTCAAGCCTTTAGGGATTGCTATCTTGGAAGGTACGAATGAGTCTCCTTACATTTTTTTAGCCAACAATCTCCTTTGGTTATTGCAATGCAGGTAGACAAAATCTTAGAACTAATGCTTCATATATCCTCGATGAAATCCATTTCTATGAGCATACTTGTCTTTCATAATCTGGCTAGTAATGCTTCCGATTGCCCCTCTTTTATTCCAAAAAACAATTGAATAATCTTAAGCTAAAAGGATGACTGCACAAAATGTTAAGAGGAAAAGCTTTGTTAGGACCACAGCAATTGATCTTTGCTCCGTATGCTTTTGCAGTATTATTGGAGCAGTCATAATTGTAACTGGATTTATGGAGTAGTGTGGGCACAGTCCAAAGAAAAGGAGAAAGGTGAAGTTTGCAGTGCTCACAAGCTAGAGTCATCATCAGTGAAGACCCCACTCTTACAAAGATACTTAGATGCATAGAGGACTCTCTTACAGGCCAGTGAAAACTGTTGCAATCTGTATACATAATTAAGGAGTAATTGAAGTTAATTCTTATAAATACATGAGAAGAAAAAAAAAATCATTGTTAGACCAACATTTTCCATTCCCAAACATAAATTCAAATAGAGTAATAGATGAACAAATGCCCAACCCATCCTTACTAAATAGCAGCTTCATGGTGTGAAAAAATAGAGTATTTGACAATCACAACTAGTCATCTAACCCTGCATGCACCCCTTATGTTATAAATGAGCAAAAAGTTATAAATCTTCTTAAGGATGGATCCCATTTTTTTCTAAACAGTCTGTTACTCACAGACTCCGGAGACCTAAGAGAGACATCTAAGGAGCTAGAAACGCGTAACTAATAAGCCCCATCTTGAAATATATATTCTATATATCTGCAGTGTTGTGGGCAAGCTAGGATAAAACAACTGCCTGATCTCCCAATTTCATGCTGTGAGGTCATCAGACATTGCTGATGGAAGGCAATGTGTGGCAAGAATGTCTCGTGTAGCGGCTTTGCCAGTCTCTGTGCGTAGAACCAGTATCTGCTTGAGCGAATGTGAATGTGAGGGGAGAGCAGATGTACAAGCATTTACCCTCATATTCTAAAACAAATTTAAGAAATTCATCATCACAATTCGCAACTATTTCCTCCAAGCTCTTCAAATTCTTCACAGGCATACCCTTAAAATTTAAAAGCAAGAACCTAAATGGAAAGACAAGACAGTAGGCATTCAGTAACTTATATGTGGAAGAAATGGAGCCCGTGAAACTGAATTCACAACCCGAGTGTTAACAATGTTCTCAAATCCAATATTGATATCAGCAACAAGAACCTGTCACAAAATTTCAAGGAAAAAATATATTGATATAATGCATTATTTTTTCCTCTCTAACTAGTTATATTGTGTCTTGATTTGCGTGTAAAGAAATTAAATTTACTAAATCAAGTTATATCCAATTTTGGTCAGTTTCCTCCAATTCTTTTTTCGAGTAAGTGGCCAACCAAACAGACTTAATTTATATTTATTAGTTCAATATACTTAACAATTCTAATAGCAGTATATTTAATTTTAGTAAAAAGAGAGATGGATGAATTTTTTTATTTAATTGAATTACTATATTTTTAAATTAGTTAAAAAAATTAATTGAATTACAATATTTTTTATTTAATTGAATTATATTTATATATTGTAATTTAATTAGTTAAAAAAGTTTATTTCTTCCTTGTTTGAAAAATATATTCAGGGTAAAAGAAAGAGTGAAAGAGATGTATTTATTTCCTTGTTTGAATTATTTTATTAATGGAAGGTGAGGAGACGGAGGGTGATGGGACCTCCCTTTACTCTTATATTTTCCACCCCTGTAATTTATAGGAATTGCGTTGGATTTGGTTTGTTCATTTAATTTTTTAATTTTTTTTAAATATATATTTTTAATTATTTATTTAATTAGCGAAATGGCCGAGAGTGAAAGAGGCGTATTTATTTCCTTGTTTGAATTATTTTATTAATGGAAGGTGAAGGGATGGGGGGTGATGGGACCTCCCTTTACTCTTATATTTTCCATCCCTGTAATTTATAGGAATTGCATTGGATTTGGTTTGTTCATTTAATTTTTTAGCTTTTTTTAATATATATTTTTAATTATTTATTTAATTAGCAAAAATTTTTAAAAAATTATTATCTTTTATTTTTTAATTATTTAGTTAAATAAAATACTGCTATTTTATCTCCTACTTTTGTCTATTCAAACAATATTAACACCAATATTTCATACCCTTTCCTTCTCCACCCTTTCCTTTCTCTTTCCTTCCTTACTCATAGTGGTGAAAAAATCTTATCCAAAGCATGCATGGTCTCATCTTGGACTAAAATTTTCCCACCTCCTTAGGTCGTATCGAACCACATTTATGCTAGTATGGTGACATGAATAACTATAGGTAACTAGATAGAGAAAACTTTGTGACTTATATGATAAAATTAATTTATTTTATGTCAATTACAATAATAACATAAAATTTATGTGCTAAAGCATGGTATAAATGGGGAGACTAATGGTCTTAAAAACAAAGTTAAAAGGGTTCCTGTTGTTATGCCAAAAGAATCTTTAGTGACACCAGCACCTAGAGGTGGTGTTTATATTCGATTCAATTCAATTAATTTGATTCAAATTGACCCAATCCAATAAAAAATCAAACCAAATCAATATAAAATTTGGTTAATTTAAATTATAAAATTTTAAAATCAATATAATTAATTTTGTTTGTAATTTTACCTTCAAACCGTATAAATTGTTCAAGTACAAAATAAAACATAATTACAAGATAACTTAATTAAATAATATAATATATTTTTTGTAATATTTTAAATTTTCTTTTTCTTAATTTTCAAGATAATAACTCTATTAACTTAATTAAAAATAAAAATAAAACATCCCGATATTCCCTAATTTATTTTTCCTTTTTAATTGTGCATTCTAATCCTAATTTTTAATTTTTAATTTACTTGCAACTCTACCCCTCAGAAATTGATTTGTGATTCTACTTTTAAAACCCTAAATTTTTAATTTATTTCTAAAATGATATTTTGATTATCTTAATTAAGTTTTAAGAAAGTATTATTTTAGAAGTTTTAAAATTATATAATAAAACTAGTTTTTATATTTTATTATTTTTGAATGTTTGATTGAGGAGTTTTAAATATTATTATGAATGTTTTTAATCAATTTTAATAATATTTATATTAAATTTTATTCACTTTTAATAAGATTTGGGGCATGAGATTGAATCATTTGATACATTAAGAGAAAAAAAAATTAATTTTAACTTTTAATAATTATTTATACTACATTTGAAACTTGAAATCTTCTTTTTATTACCCTCAATGCCTTTGATAACACAACAAAGAATTTTAAATCTTTTTAATCGTTACAATTTTAAGAGTATAGAAATTTATTTAATTTATATCTTTAAATATGTTTCTATTGATTTAGAGATTAATGTAATTTATAATTATATTTTTCATTTAATGTTAAAAATTTTTACATTATCTCAAATATTTCATAACATTAAAAATTGATTAATCTAATCAAACCATACTAATCTAATTTAATTTTTTTTTTTAAACAAATTATCAAAGAGCAAACTCGAAACCGCTCATAAAGAAAGAAAAATACACCTCAAGCTAACAAAATATCAATTGACCCGAAAAGCCAAGTGCAATTTAAATTAATTTAATTATCATATAATAATAAATTAAATTAATTTAAAAACCTTTCTAAATAATTAAGTTAGATTGATTTAAAAAATATTAAAATCTGAATCAAATCACAACGTAAACACCCCTGCCATCACCTAAGATTTTTTTTTTTTTCCTTCTTTTTGAACAGGCAACTGTTTACAAACGCGCGGGGGGCGTAAAGTGAATTACAGAGCTATGGTTCAAAACCAAGAATAGGTGCCACACCGCTTGAAACCTGTACCACTAGGCCATAACTGGCAAGTGGCAACCCCGTATATTAAAAAGGAATCTGGTTTTAAGAAACAAAGTGAAAGCAATATACCAAAATTAAAAGGCAGGACAATACACTGCAAGTTTATATACTTAATTTTTTCTTAATAGGAAAAAAATACAGATTTTCACTAATCAAAAGCCTCTAATCTACACTCACATACCAGCAATTAAAAGACATCCACAACCACTTCAGGATTAAAGCTATGCCAGGCTTTTACTAACTATAAACACCCATGGAAGCGTAGCAAAAGGATAAATCCGTTTCTCAGGGCTCACTTTAATCACAGAAGCAGAAGCAGGCATGCTTAAACAAAGCTGCTGTCGGTGAGGAGCGCCAAGCCAATACCTTATGTGAACACTGATACCAAGTTAGCAGTAATAAAACCGTGACACAAACTACAATTAGAGTTCAATAAAATTAGGATTGCAATTGCATCAACCACAGCAACTAAGTTATGACAGATCAGAAAATGGCAATAGTATCAAAATCTTGGTGACCACTTTAATTGCGAATTTGCAAGAAGGAGAAGGAAAGAAAAATGTGAACTAAAAACCAGTATGGGCACCAATTTCAAATGTCTGGGTAACATTGCGCATGATTTCCAACAGTTATAATATCTACAAAGGGAGGAACTGATCTGCATCCAGAACAAATTCAAGGAACAAACGGCTCAAAAACCCCAAACAGATGCTTTTGTGATACAGTTGATACAGCAAGTGATGAGGGTCGGAGACTAGGAACAACATCAAATGGTTCACTTACCACCCATCCTTCATGAGCACAACAGTTAGATGATATCTGGGGGTTAGTCAATGCCTGTCCTTGACAGCCTGTAAACAAAAATAACACCCAACATAAAACCTCCTGGCAGCAATCCATTAAAAAAAAAAAAATCCCTTACATACAGCAAAGATCGCATCAAGAATAAGGAAAAGATAGAAAAATGCATAAACTCCCACACCTAGAAATCATATTCTAATGCACCCAAAGGGGTGGCTCAACTGGTTAAGCCTAAGATTCTAAGCTAGAGATCTCAAGTTCGAACCCTGAGTCAAATGAGGAGGAATTTAGGAAAAGCAGAGACAGCTATTCCTTCTTGTATAACCCATCATCAAATGTACTAAAAAAATAATAATAATAAAGAAATCATATTCTAGTATCATTTTATCCTCCAAACACCCATAATGCCAGATTGAAGAGGGAATTTGGTAAAATTGGAAAAAAAAATGCAAACAGGAGACAAGAAAGGAGTACTTACAGGCTTTAGTTGGTCACCCGATAATGACATGGATTCCTAGTGCCATGAGGATTGCTTGTACCCATCCCAACTGCCCTCAGGTTCTTTCCTATTCAAAACACCACCTGACACCTGATACATTCTTGCTTGCTCCTCTGCTAGTGCCTGTGAACTGGCAACAGATAGTTGCCTTGATATTAGAGGTGATGTTTCATCTCTACCTTCTATGTCAGGGCCCCCTGGCCCAGAATTTAAGTCAAGACACTGTGGCCTTCCCCATTTCCTACTGCTTTCAGCACCACTATTATTACTACCATCTGAAAGGCTAATGACATATGGTGGCCTTCCATAATGGGATGGGAGAGAACCGGCAGGTCCTAATAACTGTGAAGGTACCGAGGGGAAGCACAGCCTCCCACTGGCAGGTGAATCAACAAATGTTGCTGAAGCACCTGAAAAGCTGGTTGACGGAAGAGAAAAGCTGGGTCCAAAGGAGAAATACTGGAATGGAGTAGAAGGAAAGGGCATGGCTGGAGAAGAAGACAGCACGGGTCCCCTATAGACATCAGGATTAAAAGGAGTGGTGCCAGTAGGGTGCCCCAACACCCTTTGGGGTCCACCAGCTGCAACAATTGGGAAAGGCTGCTCCACTCTATCAGGTAAGATTGAGGGAACTGTGACTGCTGAGTAAGTATTCCCCGCAGGAAACCATGAGGAAAAGCTTCCCATCTCTGTATTGTTTACCCGTAGACTAGAGATTGGCTGCTGGGATGGAACAATTCCACTTCTACCATGCTGACTAAACAATGAGGGTTCAGCACTTGTATCGTCAACACCAGGTCCATTGTTCAAATCAAAGTCCCTTCGAACACTTGCTTCCCCATTAAGAATACCACCTGATGATGACTTAATTGACTGAAGAGGAATATCCAGTCTGTGGCCATTTCCAGTCGAGTGATTACCAAAATCAGTAGGCTCATCAACTCTATTCAAGTCTAGATCAAGTCCCCCAGAGGAGCGACCTGGTGCAGAACCCATTAACCCACAAGTTAAATCATGGTTATTTGAAAAGCCATCTGCAGAATCTGTATCCTTCACAGAACTTTGTGAAGCTAAGTCCTCAAGGACTCTCTCATCTGGAACATTCAAATCGATATCTAGTGGAGGCCGACTTTGCTTGCCAGTGGTAGCATCGTGAAGAGAAATACTACAAGTGCCCAGAGGCAAATCCAGCACCTTCCGTGGTTCAGCTGGCCGAAAAGCACTCGTGGCTGCTGATCCCTTCCAACCAAGTGCCCCCTTGGTCCTTAATAGGTCATCCAGGGGAACAAAAGGCCCTTTAGCTGCAGCAGCAACTGTTATTGAAGCAGGAAGGCTGCTTGGTACAGAAGAAACAGGGAAAGGTAATTGGCTAAGCAACTGAAGTGGAGCTGAACATCCAGGTGCAGTAAGGAGATTTGGTTCGCCATACTTCCCCTCATCAGTGTTAAAGCCTTCATTCAAGTCAAATCCCATTTTTGCATCTGCATCTAAACCACCAGTAGCAGAAACAGGAGTCTCAGCAGTGGCTGATGCCCGTTCCTCTCCTTCTTCTCTGCAAACTAACTTCGATCCCTTTGACTTAAGACATTCTGTTTCCGGAACTGCAATAGACAGAGTTTCCTTGGAAGGAGATAGTCCACCAGGTGGCCCTTTAGCCTCTAAACCTTCTAAATTCTCCTCAACATGCTCTCTCTTGTTAACAGCAGCACCTGAACACAGTAGGTAGCAATTTGATTTGTCAACTTGAGTGGTCAAATGAAAAAAGTAAAAAAAAAAAAAAAACATATATTTGTGAAATGTCAGAACATATTAAGAAGAGAAGGAGCATTACCATCCCATTCCGTTTTTTCCTTCTCCAAGCACTTAACATGATTACAGGCATCAATTTCATCATCCTTCTCAGGTTTCACTTCAACATTCTCAGAAACAACACCTTTACCAGAACCAGTCGGCAATGCATCCTTGTCTGTTCCTTTAGTAGACTGTACAGCTGGTGATCTCTCCTGTGGCTGCAGGCTTCTGTCTACCCCTTCCTTGATATTTTTCTTGTCATCAATATCCATTTCCAAAGAAGGTAGTGATGACGATCCCTCCACCACACCTGTTCTAACTTCTCGACATGAATCAATGGCCTTATCCTCATTAAACAAAGAAGTGCTCCCCTTCTGTTTAGAATTTGGACTCCCACCATCATCCACATGGCCAGCCTTTTTCTCCACAGAATCTTTTACATCAACAATGGACTTCTCTCCAGTTGTCACTGATGAGACATTGACTGCAGCAATTTCCTTCAGTTCTCCCTTTTCAAGGCATGCATCTCCAGACTGTTGTGAATCCTTGCTCGAAGAAGTTGAAAGCCCATTAAGCTCTTCCGAGGACTTATCTTGAGAGGAACCAGGCTTGTTATCTGCATTTTTAGCCCATGTGTTACCCATGACAAACTGCTTCTGATATTCACCATCGGCACTCTCACCAGGCTGACTTCTCTCTTGTATAAGATCATCCCCAGTGGATGGTTTTGCTCTTGTTTCATTACAGACTGAGTGCTCAACAACAGGAGCATTTGTTTGTGGAGAATCAATTGGGGAAGCCACATCTGACTTAGAAATCTCTCCAGCAGCTACACTAGCAAGCAAATTCATTCCAGCATCATCACCAACTGGTACATATGCATTTGCTTCAGAGTATTTGACACTGTCAATTAGAGCATTTATGGAGCTGAAGGAAGCATCCTGCAATTTCCCAGATTTAAGTTCATGCCCTGATGATGAGGAAGCAGTTTTAGAAATTTCTGCTGTTTTCCTAACATCTTTTCCAGTCCTGCAGTTCTCTTCCTCAGGGATGGCAGCAGGTGATCCATCACCCTCTTCTGAGCCAGTCATGACATCTTTGAAATCATTGCTTTGCCATGACTCGGTATTCACATCAGCAGTAACATTAGCTCTAAAAGCATCAACCTTCTCCTTTACATTACGATCAAATTGCTCATGCTTCTCTGGAAGGACAGGAGATGAAGCTCGGCTATTCATAACCGAATGGTCTTCAAAACATCCTGCACTGGCACTTTGTGCAGGACTTCTACCATGGTTTGGGATCTTAACAATCAATTTATGACTATTTCCCTCAGCCACAGAAATGTCAACAGCCTTTTCACCAGTCAAACCAGTTTGTGATGGTTTTTCTGAAGATGGGTTCTGGAGCAAGGAAGAACTTTTGCTTGACCCTGAATCTCTTTGAACCCCAGATAAAGATGGCCCTGAAAAACCATTAACTGATTTTCGGTTCCTTGAAGAACCCCCTGAGACTTTGTTTAGTGTTGCTGAACCAGCAACAGAGCTTCTTGCTTCTTCCTTTCCAAAAAAGCCCCCAGTTTTGGCAAGGTCACTAGAACAAGACTGACTATTGTTGTGGGACTGACTAGAACTGCTACTTTTCTCATCCCTAGCCATTGTTTGAGGATCAGAAGTGCCACCAGCAGTAGCATTTCGAGATTGCCCATCTTTCGGAGTTGTACTTGCAGATGCAGGGGATGATGCTGCCTTCATAGACCCAGGAGATGCAGAAGCAGATTTAGTTGCAGACTCCCCTTGCGCCAGCTTGATAGAACCAGTTTTAGAAGCAGATACTTGTGTCACTGAACTCTTTGTAGCAACCTCTGATGAACCAGAGAGCTTACTTCCGCAGTGGGAAACCTCAGAGAGACGAGGTCTAGCAGGCCAGGGAACAGCTTGATTGGAATCAGATTTCGCATCCATTTCAGCCTCAACACGTTTCTTCCATGTGTCAACTAAACTTCTTGCTTTCTTCTGTATTTCTAAATTTTTATGGCTTCGTAAATTATTCACAGACCGGCCAATATTACACGCTTGTAGGGCAGTAAGGTTTATTGGTAACTTATCAAGCGCACGCAGTAAGATTAAGAGGAATTCCTCAATAGATTTATCAGAGTCCTTGGAACCACTACCATCACCAATCTTTCCTTTATGCACTTCTTGCAACCATTCATCAAACACAGGCAAGCCTTTTAGCTGCACAAAATGACTCAGACAGTCAAGCTTCTCTGTAGCTGCCACCACACCAGCAAGCATTGATCTGCCAACCAAGTCTATTTTCTTTTCAGTTCTCTCAGGCAGCATAAGTTGCACCAGCTTATCAACTCCTTCAGAATCTTCTAGTCCACCCTTCTCTGTAATTTTGGCAATCTCAGATTTTAAACTAATCTCCGGTCCCCTATGACCAGAATCTCCATCATCCATTTTACTGACACGTTCTCGTTTAACAGGCTCAGAACTCTGATCTCCACGCTCCCGTTTCTTCCCCTTAGCTTGAGAAGGAAATGATGGGGCACTGTTTTGTATGCCATCTGAACCAGGTTTTAGCTGTGATGTTGATGTTGGACCATTCATTGGTTTTGGAGAACGGCCACCTGGCTGCACTGTTGCATGCATTTCTAAATGAGTCTTATATAACAGTTGATCTACTTCTTCCTGTCGTTCCTGTGATAGGGAAAAGACATTAACCAAAGAGGAAAAAAAAAAAGGGTAAAAAAATTGAGAAATCATAGTCTTTGAACTCACATCAATATAATCTTGATCAGTTAGCCACCAGAAACACTTGCTATTGATGTCATAAACACGCCGGCACACAAATGAGCAAATTCCTGATGGAAGTTCAACGCCTTTAGGAAGGAATGCAACTTTACACGGATGGAGT